CGTCGTCGTCGTCGTCGTGTCGTGTGTGTGAGAGAGAGAGAGTAGTAGAGTAGAGAGAGAGAGTGTGTGTGTGTGTGTGTGTGTGTGTGTGTGTGTGTGTGTGTGTGTGTGTGTGTGTGTGTGTGTGTGTGTGTGTGTGTGTGTGTGTGTGTGTGTGTGTGTGTGTGTGTGTGTGTGTGTGTGTGTGTGTGTGTGTGTGTGTGTGTGTTGCTCTGGGTCTTTTCCGCCAACAGACACCAGAAAAACATGTTGAAACACACAAAGACAACACATAGCCAACACTTTGACGCATAAGCTCCACCTGTCAATCCAAACCCTCATTCACAATTCATGTTCAAATTTCCCTAAATATTTTGTTTATTATATTATTTTCCAACCAAAATGAGTGTAGTATTATTGCAAAAAAAGAGGTACAAAATAAGAAAGACAGTAACATACTGTATTGAGTAGTAGAGTATATACATGTACATATCATTTTCATAATTTTAATACTAAAGTAGGATTATGTGATCCAAACCAAACGTTGTTGTTTTTTTAATGTTGTTTCTCAGTTTTTTACGCTATAATTGACCAATAAATTGCGTGCTACATTGGCTCCTCTAGCTTATTCTCTCTTTGCCTTGGAAGGGTAGTAACAAGGAGAAGAGGGGGGAAGCCATATAATAGCTGGAAAAGAGAAAAGACCTAAACGGCTTGTGTTTATTTGTTTATTTTCTTCCAAGTACGAGACACTACATCAACCTCCGCCTGACCCCACCCAACCCACAACATACAGTGGGGGCAACAATCACCAGCAGAAACTCTCTTTACCTTTAAACCATCTGCTTGCTGCTTCCCAACACTCTATGTCCTGAATAATCTGAGGCACCCATGGGTTTAAGCCTCTGTGGTGCCTTTTTTTTTTATCTCGGCTCAAACACTGGATGTCCCAAAAGGCAAATACCGACTTTCAAGTTTCAGCTCAGCTTTCCTCTGTTGAGTTTACCCGCTGAGCCCTTGACCTGAGGCTAAAGGCTAAGGCGTTACCATGTAGCTAACTTCTTACCACATATTCCCAGGGAGCCAGCCAAGGTATTAGCTAACTCTCCAACAAGAAATAGGACTCAATGTCTCTTTAAAGTCCATGACTTCAGGGCTACGTTTCTAGCACTCTAAATGTAAGGTATTAATTGGCAATGTTTAATGCTTTGTAGATTCATAAACCACCTCGATGGGGTTTTGAGTTCTTGGACTTTCTTTTATCCCAAAGGTACAGGATGCTGGGATAAAGTATGCTTCAAGTTGTGGAGCTGCTGTTGTAACTACCCCTCCCCTGTCGAGGTTGGATATTTAAGCCTAGTCCACATATTAGCAATGGGGAGATTTAGCAGCAAGAGAAGTATAATCCTGAATCCTTTCCTGGTAAATCCAATACAACACAGCCAGTAAACATAACTGGCAGGGATAAAGTCTGACACGTGGGGATGTTTGGCATTGTGAATTACCGCAACAGCCAAAATGGGACAGAAACTCAGACGATATAATGAAGTGAAACTGTAGACACATTTAATTGGTTTCTAAATGAAGGTACATGGTCAACAGCTTGATTCAAGACAGTTAAGAATCTTGTCGTTATCTTCCTACTCCGAAGCCACACACATGGGCAAATTGTGGATAGGATCACAAAGGTTATTCGTTTTTTAAATCCACTTAACAACAGCACTTCATTTCGCCTATAAACTGCAGAAGTTTTCAGGGTAAGAAAAAGTGATTTGGCCAACACGACCGACAAGATGCCAGCTCCTGCAGACTTGTATTTGACTCTCTTCTCTTTAAAGATCAGGAAATGAAAGGATAAAGAGGCAGATTATTACATTGTAGTGCATACTTCCAGATAGGATTAAGGAAAAATAGATAGCTATAACATTACTTGAGTCATTTCCAGCTGCAGACATTCAGATCAGGAGAAGCATGTCTGCGGATCACTGTGAAATAATGAGATATGAAAATGACTAGGGGGCACTGGAGGAGTAGAGGGCTGGGGATTGTGAAGGAGGTTTGCGTTTGATCCCATCTCTTTCCCTGCTCCGTCACTTCAATTACCGTCCTCTCCTATCACCCCATCTATTGGGAATATATGGAATAATTAAGTAAAAGCGTAAGAGCGCTGTGGTTATTGGTTTAAAGCGGTGATTACTGCGCAGTGGATGTGTATGAGAGGGTGGTGAGAGAGATTTGCTTTGACTTTGGGGCATTCTAGACAAACTGTATTTCACATTTTTTAACAAAGAGCCTGTAAGGAAGTCATATATCCTACAGAGAGGATGACTTTAAACAAATGGTTAGTACTTTAGCTGGAAAAAAAGCACACCATACACATAGTTATACAAAATACTTATTGTTTGGCTTCTTCCACGTCAGTGCAACACTCCCCAAAATGCAGTGTAGTTAATTCTGCATATGACCTTGCCCTCTAGGCATGGGGTACACCTGTGTAGCAATTGCAGTTTAAATGCCACTGTTCCTCGCATTGAATAAAGCATACGGAGTATCAACGAACATCAGCATTCAAATTTGTAAGCAGCGCTGTGAAATTCAAAGGTCGCTAATTTAACAAATGACATTTGGGATAGTGCTTAATGCATTTTGCTTATCACCGTTGGCTTATTAGAGCTTGAACTATAGCTAAAAAAGGGAAAATGCAGGTTGTTAAGCTGTAATTCACAGGACTTGATTTTAGGGCTTAGGCAATCTTGTTTTCATGTTTTAAACATTTTATAATGTGAAAGCCATCATTAAAAGCATGCCTGAGCACCTGGCTTGATGTTTAAAAAGTGAAGTGCAACTTCTTCTGAGCTTTTTAATACCACTGAATTAATTCTCAAGGTTCTTTGTCTCTTTGCCTCCAGAACCTAGAGAACTACAAGCAGACGACTGAACAGTACAACGAGGCCGCGAGCAAAGCTGAGGCCGACATCAGGTAAATACTGTGCAACACCATTTTCTGTGGAATGAACCATTCAGTGCACCATTACAGGGCTGCTCCTTACTGCCTCAGTACCGTTATGTTTTTTACGAGCCCATCAAAGCAGTTTGCCAAATTCACCTCTAAATAATCTATTAGTTGAGGCTGTGATCTTTTTTTGATGTTGTAACAACAGTGAGAAAGCAGATGTGGTCAGAGGCCTGAGTTTGAAGGCAGTTTGCAATGTGTGTATACCGTTAATGGTACAGTCCACACATTACTTCCCACACATACAATGTTTAGGCTAAACGATGCTTTCTTATTGTCTTTTCCCTCTCCTTTGTCATAGGATTGTGACAAAACTATAAAATTAATATATCATGTCTCACCATTTTCCTATTAAGATAAGTTAGATCATTCTGACATTGTTGTTTCTCAGTCTTTGAATTCATGAGAATATATTTATCTTATTTTAGAATTAAAGTTAAACAATGTTCTTAACATAGCTTTGAATTGTTATCTTGTCATTTAGTCATTACATGCATTTAATAACAAAACAATATCTAAATAATGAGGCAGTACTTCCACCTAGACCACCTGCTGCTTTCTTTCTCAATGTCTTGCTTCATTTGGAAATTAGACATGGAAAAGAAAATAGTGAAAAATACATAACAATATCATTTTTATTGACTTTATTTGTCTTTCAGTGCTCGGAGAGACAGATAGAATCGTGTGAAGCGGATTAGCTGGTTTTGAATATAATTTCAGCACTGAATGTGCGCTCGATTTTATGTATTGATTTGTACAAAAATGAATACGTTCTCGTGGCATATTGAGACTCTTCCTACGCTGTCAAATAACAGCTAAAATGTCTACTTTAACATTCTCTCCTTTCTTCTTCTTTTGTTTATAATGACGCACCTCAATAGCCTTTGTCATGTAGCCAGTACCCGCTTAGTAATCATAGCAATACATGATGAACTCCCTGGCCTTTGAAGCGGCCCCATTCGGCTGGTAGTAATAGTAGTAAAACAGAAACAGCAGGATTTGACAAGAAGCAGAGGTTCCTCTTCAGAGTTCAGACTTCTTCTTCTGCTGTCAAAAAGCACGTCGGAGTCATTCAACAGTGAACTGCCAGAGAGTGTGGACCTTGACAATTTACGCCCCTCTTTAACACCGATTCTTAACCATTTTTTGAAGGGAGAATGAGCCGAAGAGCTCAGTGAATCCAATTTAGTCAGACAGCCATTCAAATCTTCTTGTCCCGCATGCATGGCAATGATTGTTGCAAAACTGATGAAAGCCGACTAATTAATTCAGATCTTTTTTTTCATTGGTTATTTTCACACGCTCATTCATCACCTTTTAGTTCCTATTAACACATAAAACCTTTTTTTACCTTCACACTTATGGCTGCGCATTAAAACCTGTAAAAGTCCCAATGTAGGAGCCAGTTAGATTAGCCTCTGCTATTAAAAATGTTACATTTATGCAAGTCTCATTAGATTCAAATGAAAAGGAGTAATCTCTGCGAGCAGCAGTCATTGATATTGGGTTGATTGGGAAGTTTTACATTTATATTTAAACGGCAATATCTGAAAATAAAAATTGTAATTTTTCTTGATCCTCTCATTTGCGTGCAGTTTGAACTGTGACATGTTGTCGATTAGCTTTCCATTGGATAATGAGGGGAGAGCAAATGTGTGGCTCAAGTCATTAAAGGGTTTGTTGATGTGGGAGCAGCGTAGAGGCGTAATTGAATTAGAGCAAACTCTCTTTAATATCAAAACCATCTGAATATACATCAGTTACTAACAAGGTGGGAAATGAAAGAAAGTCACTGTCACCGTCGGCACAGCTTTGCAGCATTAGTTTGTATGATGAGGACTTGTGAGTTAAGGTGCATAGAAAAGCAACTACCTATCAAATGATTGGCTTTCCTCCTTCTATCATTTAAAGTTTCAGACAAAATATAAAGCAACGCTGTTCTGGAATAAATGTGTGAGTGTTATAATTGAGAAACCAGCGCAGCACACATCCCAGTTCTTCCCTGGCAACAGCAGGAGGGAAAGGTAGAAGCTCTTTCGTCTTGCTAGCTTTGCAGTGTATGATGGGTGGTGACCTCATTCCACATTTTCTTGCACCTGGTCCATTGAATTGAACAGAACACAACTCAAGTCCAACATTTTGTCCGAATGATTACATTAGCAAGGATTTGCTATTGTCCGTCTCTGCATTGAAAAGGTTAGGAGATCAGTTCTGCATGAGTTTGCCGAAAGAAGAGCATTTTGTCCTTCCACAATGTGTTGCTCATTATTTTTGTTGAAGTGCGCACACACACACACACACACACACACACACACACACACACACACACACACACACACACACACACACACACACACACACACACACACACACACACACACACACACACCACATTTTTCAGTCCCTTTTTTTCTTTCTATCTCTGCCACACATACAGGCACACTTTGTATTCAGGCAGCCACGAGCTCGTCATGTTCAGTCAGCATTTGGGCAGCGTTTCATTGTGCCGTGGTCACGCTGTCATTTCACACTACACTGACCACCCAGTAATTATTCTATTTACCCACCAGTGAAGGGAGGGGGTGCAGCGCAGTCCAACACATTATGTAGCTACAGCCTGACTCTTTCTTCTGTCTTTGTATCCGTCTCCAGTGTCGACCTATAAATCGTTCTCTTATTGTCTCATTCACCTAATTCTTAAATATCTTTTCCATCTCAGCCCCACATGGTTGCAACTTCTTTTATTGTTCTAAGCCTGTTTCTCTTGGAACTTTGATCTTCCTTTTGTCTTGATGTTCCTTTTGTCTTGAAAGACGAGGAGTGATGAGGTAGCCTGTGTTATTTATAATATTTTAGATCTCCTTCCTCTTGACAGTTTTGGCTGTATAACTGTTTGTACCTGACCTGCAGAAAGACAGTATTCAGGCCAAAACATTGGCTGATAAAAGCCGCAAGAAAAAGTCACAAAATACACTTCAATGACAACAACACAATGATTGTTACCTTAAAAGGAGTTTAGAAGTTAGGAATCAATATTCCTGTAATGCGGGAGAGCTTTATTGGCGCATTTGTACTTGTGGAGAGGGTGATTGGAGCTGTTAGTGTTGGTGGAAGATGTTGACAAATTGATTTCCTGCTTTAAGAAGAAGGAACACGTTTTATCATTAACCAAAGCAGCATCTGAAATGAAGAGCCAGCGGCAGTATATCACAGTCTGTTCTGTAAGACTAAACCACATGTTAAGAAAATTACAATTTAACGAAAAAAAAAAACAAAGCTAATTTTCAGGGAGATGGAAATCAGGTACAGTTCTCTTAAGTAGTTATAAAGGACATCACCATAACACATCTCTAGGGATTTCCACTTTTTTATTGACAGTTTTCCAACTTTGGCTCCTTTTTAATAGCTGTGATTCCAGAACCAGCCCAACATCTGAATGCAAAAGTGAAATCTAGAAGCTGCCTCTCTCACCTGATGAGGTTGAATTTAAGATGGAAGCCTCCTGTGTTATTGCCTCTTTGTTCCTGCATCGGACACATCTGTAAAAGGTTATGTCGTCTACTTGCCTCGCCCAAACACATGGAGCATTTTAAAGAAGTCCATCCATTAGCCTTGCCTTGGGGTATCAGACTAGCTATATTCCGCACAAATACCTCACCCGAGAGAGCCACAAGACTGCGGCTTAGCTTACTTTAGGATCTAAAAATCCATTAATCCTCTTAACAAAAAACTGGTTAACCTCAAAGTGTTTGTAAAGACAGAACCTGAGTGAACCTCAGGTGGATGTTGTTGTGAGTATTCACCATGAAGTAACTGCTGATAGTTTGTAGTTAAAAGCCTTCTTTTATATAGGATTTGTTATTTCTTCTTTATGTGTCTATTTTTCTGTGTGTGTGTGTATGAGGGTAGCATGTCCAATTAGTGAAACAGACAGGTAGCTAACTCTAAGGATCTCTGTGCCCCACACGGTAGTAGACTACTAGTCATTACCAGAGACAGGACCTGTCTGCACTGTGTGGTCCAACAAAGATTTACCATCAAGACAGAAGGCTGAAGTCTTGTACACACAGTGCTGTGTGTGTGTGTGTGTGTGTGTGTGTGTGTGTGTGTGTGTGTGTGTGTGTGTGTGTGTGTGTGTGTATAAACACCTACACACAGATACAGTACAGATTTAGTCTGTGCAGTTGCAATAGATGTGATAAAAGAAGACAGTGTAAATTCTCTTTTTACATTTTTCACATTTTCAATCATTTATTCAAGACTTTTCCTTTTACATGTTGATGATGTATGATGTAAGACAGTTATGTACGTTACAGTTGAATTGGTCTATTTTCCATTTGCAGTTAAATAAGACATTGCCTGCTGTTAGTATAAGAAGTAGTGATCATCTAAGTAACCGAGGCCTGACCCAGAACTTGAGTCGGGCTGCATCAGAATCACATATATTCTAATCATGAAAGGTTGGGTCCCTTTCCTTTGCAACTAGTTTTGGGTCTCTATGTTAAATATACAGTAATTCCCAAATGGATTAGATTGAACTCTCCTATTAACTCTGACATTGTGGTGTGTGTCATATTCATCACAGCAGAAATACGACAATGTTGTAGTCGGAGTATTTCCTCCTACTCTTTTTGACCTTTTCTTCTCGTTTAGTCTACTGTTGCCATTCTTTGTGATGTAACTCTGCTTGGGTCATCTGCATTCTGGACAAGACAACAGGAGATTATTTAACACTCATGTAGCAATGTAACATACAGCAAAGCAAAGTAAGAGATGATTTCTCTTTGTGTCATGGATTTTAAAAGCTACTGTGTTTCTTTTAAAGAAAAGTGAAGTTGTTTGAAGTAAAAGGAGCTTCAAATGATAACAAACTGGAATTGAAATAGTTGATGATAAAAAAGCTAGTGATGTAGAGTGATAGCAGCCAATGGCTCCGGAGAGCATGTCTGTCTCCCCCCCCCCCCACC